CCATCGGCTAAAGAATCAACAATACTTAACTCGGGTTGCCTATGCTGGTTGCCGTCTGCCGTCTCAACGGTCACATGATGTGTTACGTTACCCTGCATGCCGGAAATGGCAGAAGAAACGATGGAGGATAGTACTCGAGTCCACCTCTCATCACGATCGCTGCCAACATGTCTTGAATCGGCATGCTTTAACGCGGCATTGCATTGACACAACCTGCTACGCATGTTGAAATTTGTGGCCAAACGGATCACAGTGTTGCAAGGTTTGAGCTGGTTTGTTTCGTATCTGCACCAAGCATGCTCCGAAACATGCAAACTCGGCATTAAAGCAAGGATATGTTGCATGTTCCAAACCTGACTTCTGTTGTTGGCCTCAATCACCACCATACGTCCACAAGCCATCTGAGCATTGACAAGATCACACAAATGCGAGGTGCGCGATGCATCTCTCTTGTTGCAGTTCCTGCGCAAGGACCTGCCAAACGAATCCACAAACAAGTAGGCTTATCGTTTGACAGACCCTGCAGCAATCGAACACAGTGTCCTTTTGAATGCAAATCATGATGTATGCTAAAAGTTCTGAATCCCATGCTTTGCAAAAGTCTCTGTCTGAGACCGTCCTTATCCGATATCACCCAAACCAAAAGCCCTTCGATCGACTTTGTTTCGGACGATACCACATGAGGCAAATCTCGACTGATCACTCCTGGCTTAGTTGCTTCTGACTGCGTCAGCGCTGTCCCCGTCGCGGCGACACGCTGCGTTCCCCCTGCCTACACGACATCTGGAAGTCAAGACTTTTATCGATCCTTGACCCTGCAGCGCTTGAGGCTTCAGCATCTATCGGGAGAATCAGATGCCCGCTGTCCGACATCATCAAGTCATAAGCCACAGTGCCCGGACAACGCTGGATATCGCACCCAGCAGGCCCAGGCAAGATCAACTTATTGTTTCCCATATCCAAGATGCCCCTAAAAGCTTTCAAGCTACGAAGCCCCAGCAGCGGTGGCAGGTCGGAATCCGAAATGACAGGAGCAGTGAAGCTACCCGGCACAACCTCGCCATCATCACTGCCCAACCGAATCGACATGCGCTTGGCTACGGCAGCACTCTGAGCACTTTTGCCGACACCCTCAACACTCAAAGCCTTGTTCATTCGAAGTGTTTTGGCTGGGGTGCCCACAATCTCTTCCATGCGCCGCGCCGTGCGCTCACCGACAAGATTGTCGTGAGCACCCGGATCTACAAGTAAACCCGGTCTGTCCGACTGCAGCCGTGTACGCAGATGATAGGCCTTGCCTTTGCCACTGTCATCGACACACTTGTCTCCGGGAGCTGAGTGCACCTGATCATCTTCATCAGTCTCCCACCAAGCCATGAGCAAGGAGTTGAGCTGCAGTACAGTGCGCTGTCGTTCTAAATCCTCAGCACTCGGACCCTGCTGATTTGGCGGCGGATGTTTAGGCATTGGTACACCAGGTCGGAGTGCTTCAACCGACCTTGTAGCACCGTCGCCAATCGGAGAGTGAGCAACTTGAACAGGTGATGAAGAAGTGGCTGGTGCGTCGGAACCAGACTGCGAAGATGCGACCACCGTCTCAGCAGTCCAACGAGGGGGACTGTCTGGCCCTTGATCGGACCGTCTCGATTTACGCGACCTTTGACTGCTGATCTGAGACACACTTTCGAGCCTAGCAAGATCATCATCAAGTGAGGTCCTCCGTTGGCTTCCAACCTCACTCAGAGGAGGCGGAGTGCCCAAGTGATAATGAAAGGCAACTCCTGGCATGGCATTCCCGGCCACACCTGCATGCCACACTTCGGCGCGTGGAGCCGCTGCACTTGAAGTGAGAGCAAGCGTAGGTCCTGATACACCATGCTCGGATGTATGCATCGTTCCGGACCCTTTTCCACTGCCTTTGTTCACTACCATTGGGCACCTCCTCCAGAGATGCTCTTCGCTTCCGCACTTGCTGCATTTCAGGATTTGCCCATCACGACCCTTGGGATTCTTTCGTGAAAAGCCTTTTCCTGAACCCTTCGATTTTGATCCTCCCTTGTTCCCAGCAAAGGCGCTGGGTGGAAGAAAAGCAGCATAACTCCTGGCATACGGGCCCGATCTTAATTTGTGGACATGACGCCCGGTGCGGAAGTTGGATCTCCGATACCTGCGTGGCGGTTTACCGGTAAAACGTCGCCAACGCCTTCTGGCAAGCACATAATCCTGATACAACTCGTTTTCGCGGGCATTGTTGTCTTGTCTCGACTCCCCGTCTATCTCAACCACACTATAAGCCCGAATACCTTCATCTAAAGAACCCGTGTCCGTCTCTGTGGCTGAGGAGAACTCCTCGTCTTCGTAGAAGGAGCCGCATGTTGCACACCTATCCCAGCTTCCTGTCTCTTGGTTGTTAACGTTGCCACCTACATAATTTCCCATGTCTTCCGCAGCTGTTGAGGGCATAGCTGACGACGTGGGAAAGGAAGCACCAGCCCAAGGATCACATCCACTTCCGAATGCACCGCAACCACTACCCATATCGGCTGGGAAGTTACCGGCTGCTGGAGTCCCAGAAGACCCCGCAGATTCACCAGCAAACGTAGGATAGAAGTGATAAGTGCCCGGATCACCTACACCTGCCTGATGACTAGGATGTCGCAATGATCCCTCGTAAATGTGTCCTTGACGCCTGATTCGCTCCAGGAGTGCAACCAGTTGTCCCTCGTCCTGAGGAAGATTTCCGTTAGTGGGCTGCAACAGGCGATCCAACTGATCAGCCGATACGCCCAAAGCCCGCAACAGCAACCAGGCTAGCCCCTGATGATTAAGACCGAGCCCTCCCCTCATGGTTGCTCGGTTGCGAAGCACATCAAATCGCACAAGGAAAGCATCCACGTTTTCCTGGGGAATCCTATGGAAATTCAGGAAATCACTTACCGCTCGCGTCTGTGCCTCACCATCCAAGGGACTGTATCGCCTGGCCAACGTTTGCACAAGAATCATTAAACCGGTGATGTGATTGCCTGTCTGAGGATCAATGGCTCCCTGGGACAAACGTTCTGGCGGAATCTCGCGAATGGGTTCCTTGGCGCTGCCGGTAACTTGCATCGCAGCGATTGGCCCCTGACGTGCTGGTTCAATGTCAGTAGCACTCGCCCATAGCACCAAATCGGATATCCAACACCTCAAGGTGTAAGTATGGTTTCTTTCTATCGACCAAGCTGGCGGTACCTTTAGCGTCGCTGTGCCAACATATGGAGGCCCGGCGTCGCCTACATGCGCGTGCTGGCGCGGATACCCCTGTGCTTGGCCCCTATTGAAACCCGGCACCATAAAGAGAACCATGACCAAAGCTGCAAACAGGCTAAACCATTTCAGAACCCCTATTCTAGAATTGCTTCCTTTGCTACGAAGCTTACGCTTATTGCCCTGACGCTCACGTCGTCTTCGTTGCTTCCTGGTTTCCACACCACGACCCTTATGCAAGTTCTTATCTTCAAGACGCCTAAAAGCACCAAAAGACCTATCATCTGGAAACGGAGGCTGTGAACTTGCCTTCGCATGTTCACTCCAATTCCCCGACCAAACCTGCACCTGTCGTCGATGTTGTTTCCTACCAGAAAGATCACAAAGCATCGTGCTCACGAATGCCTTCAACTGCTCGGGCAAATGTAGAGGATTAGGGAAATCAACACTGACACCACAAGACATGCGCCACATCATCCCTCGGTGCGGCCGTGCCCGCTGCACTGAAGCAGCAACGTAATCACGATGCGCAAACTCATAACCAAAGTCATGGGGCATGGGTTTCGTTTCACTTTGGCTTACGTCTACAACAGCAGAATACGAAGCTTCTTCAGATGAACTCACACTACCGTGGTGTTGAAGATCAAGAGCCTGTGTCACACGGGTTGCACTGGAGAGTCCTAAACCACTACGGGGTTTTGGGTCTGCCGACATCTCGATCTTAGGGACAACCGGAGGGCCTAAACCACTAGGGCTTAGAGGGTTAGTTGCTGCGCCACCATCCTCAAGATGTGGCTCATTCGTCGTGCGTACGTATGCGCTCACGTTCGCGCCCAACTCCGGTGTTGTGTCTCGTAGTCGCGACCCATGAGGCCGTCTTGGACCAGACAGACGGGTGTGCATCACGACATCGGTGACAAACTTGTCGTCGCCGACGTCGCGAAGTCCCTCGGTCCTCCGATCAAAAGACTCCTCCTTCCGGTGTTCGCTGTCCGTCAGCTCTCGTCCTTCAACTTGATCATCAAGCTCGTCAAGGATACTGATCAATCTGTTCAACACATCCTGTAACCGAAAGTCTCTTTCTACGTCGGCCGTCAATGCAGTGAACAGATCATGCGTTGCGTTCTTGGATTCGTTGTCATGCTTCAAGACATCGTAGCTGTAGTTATGCCCCTCACCAATAGAAATTTCCAGCTCGGGAATCGCATTTCCCTCCAGGTAGCATGTGACCAAGAAGACTGCGAATGACAGAGCTGCGAGAAAGAAGCAATGATAAGGAGCGAACCAGCGTGAGCACCCTGAGTGCTCCGCTACCAAGTTGAAATCTTGGTTCGCGGAGGAATGATGCAGCGTAATGCGATTGACCATGGCTGCAACTCCCTTTTCCCTGGATCGGCTCATGAACGATGTCCTGTCTGATGCACAGTTCTGCTTGCAAAAGTAATGCCTGAAAGGCTGAATGAGAGATGAGCTTTACAAGGATCTCCAATTAAATACTGCAAAGAATGATCGGCCTCGAGGCTTGGAAAAGCCGCAGATGGCATACGTACAGCACAGCGCACAAGTGGGACCTGCAGGTGGACAAGTAGGCTCGCCTACATCTTAACTGTAGATGGGGGTTTCCGAAAATAGGGGACCCTAATATAGTACCCGTCATAGTAGGATCCTTACTTATAAGGACCCCAAAATTAGGTACCCTAATTTTCGGAAAGTCCCAGATGGACATGGAGCACCGCAAAATGCATCGAAGTCTCCCAAGTCACGGTCACTGATCCCTCCGCCGCCCCCCAGGCCTCGGCAGGGGACCAGCACGTTCAATGGAACCCGACAAGTCAAGACGACATTCATGGTAGACGGCCTTGATCTAGGGAGTTTGGATTGTAGTGTTACAAGAATAAGAACAAAGTGATACTACCTTCGGAGTGCGGCATGCAGCTTGGTACTATATACACGAGTCGTTGCAAGGGATCCACGGCCGTGAAGCCCAAACTTTCGAGAAGCCGCGCACATTGTCTGGAACGCAATAGCGTAGTGGCGTAGTAAGAGGCATGCCTTGATAAAATGCCAGGAGCATCTGCGTCCGAGTCTCAGGGTGCGAACCTGCCGAGCCAACGCCAGATCGTTCGATCTTGTCGCCGAGGCGGACCACCTGTGCAAGCGATTGTTGCTGATGCGGAAGGTAACACCATAAAGTTCTGCACTTTTTTCGGAGAGATTTTGCCCACGAATCCCTAAATCCAAAACCCTTAACCGCAAAACCCTTTTTGCATCAGGGCTTGTGCCATTTCTTGGCTAAGGGATTTTAATTAAGCTGCCATAATCGGGATCTATAGTAAATAATAGGGTTTCGTTATTTTTGTAACTTAAGTTAAATCCCTAAGCAATAACCCAGCAACTGGACCGAGGTGCGCAGTACGGCTTCTTGCAGCCATCGGAAAGGCTCCGGCCCTGGCAACGACGCACGAAGCAAGTCGCATGTAGCATTGTCGCTATCAATCTTCTTTCGTCTGTGTTGCGGATTTTCTACATACAAATACGGTTCTTACTTATGATTTACACTGAAGCATTACCCTTGGCTATGCCTGCAAAGCTTACGCAGTCAGAGTCCGGTCCTCCAGAATCTGCACTCGGATGACGGCACTCGGCGTCCTTGTGCTTTGTGATAGCACTGTAGTTTATCACAAGGCACAGGTAAGAAGGGTCGCTACCAAGCGACGTCGAGGCCACATCCATGTCAAGGCAGATGCAATTGCAGCATCCATTGCAGAAACCTAAGCATCCTTGTTGCGTCTTGTGGCGGCTGATGAAGTCTCTATTGCAGTACTTAAACTGCTCAGCTGCATGGGCAGCGGACATCTTAAACGAGAAGCTGCTCCGGATACTTTTTGCCAGAGCTTAGCTTGTCTGTTGACTCTTCGGACCGCAGATCATCGAGCCAGGCTACAGAAAGGCAGGGCTCGACCAGGTTTCGCAGAATCACGACAAGCCAGGACCTCTCAATTCTGCAGTGTAGGGCCGCCACGGGGGGAGGCAGACCTAGCACTCCGACGAAGACATTAAGGCTGCAAAAGGATCCGCACTGGCCTGGATGCTTCTTTCCGCTTGGATGCTGAGCCTGGGATGTGTCAGTTGCGATTCACCCGTCTCCAGGCCCGCTCTAGGTGCCCAACGTTTCCGGGACGCTCGCCTTCGACAGGGGCAACACTTTTGGAGCCAAAAACCCCTTACCACCTTAATACAGAGATGGCTCAACGTATCTCCTCGAGGGGGCTACAGTAGGCGTCCCTGAACCATGTATGCAAGAGAAAACTCAACAAAGCACAAGTGGCAACTGAGCCCGGCATGCGGAGCATTGTGAACGGACTGCGGTTCACTTGTTGCATACCGGAGTTGAAAAACGTGGTCAGGTTCCTACATTAGCTCTGCAGTAAGGTCTAAATAGCCTACCGTGGTGTGCCTAGCTTGGTTTACTACACGAATCAGGCTTCGATCCGATCTCACGTTTTGTGTGTTTGCGCAGTCGTTGCACATGGGGTGCTGGAAGCCCGATTGGAAATACAGTGCTGCGCACAAGGCCTTGCCTCAAAATTATCCTAAATGCGGTGCAGACATGCCAGGAGCTGTCAGTAACTTGGCTCCGGCACTGTACGGCTAGCTAGATCACACTGCTGGACTTCTGATTTGGTGATACGACGATGACACTGTTGATGGTATAGATCCTGCATTACCTTACGGGCCCTAAACTATGGGAATTATGGCATCTTCCTTATTATGGGTAGTGCAGGAGTTATACCATCAACCGCATGAAATGAATTTCAAGATTCGTGACGGTGCGTCCCAAATCCACGACTCGACACCCCAGCCCGAACTTGGGGAAGATCCCGCGGCATCTGAAACCATGTCGTCTGAAGCCAGCTCGTGTAACGAGATACATATACACAAATATGCATATGAACAAATAAATAAATAAATAAATAAATATTATATATATGTGTGTGTATGTAGATACGCAAACGTGTGTGTGTGTCTCTGTGTGTGTGTGTGCGTGTGTGTGCGCGTGTGTGCGCGTGTGTGCGCGTGTGTGCGCGTGTGTGCGCGTGTGTGCGCGTGTGTGCGCGTGTGTGCGCGTGTGTGCGCGTGTGTGCCCGTGTGTGCGCGTGTGTG